ATGTGAAACTCGTAATTTGAAATTCTGAAAACCTTATATTTGAAATTCTGAAAATCTTATCTGAATAAAAATTAGATATGTAATCATACCACTCCTTGGCTTAAAACCTTTGGTTTCACCATGCCTATGGGATAAAGTATGTATACCTTAAGTATGGCCATCAGAGATTTGGTTCCTTCCTGCTTCTCCAGACTCATTTCTCACAACCCTCTGCCTTAAAATTTATTTTTTCGGTGGCACTGAACTGGAGTTTTTCTATAACTATCATGCTGTTTCTCACTTCAACAGATGTCTTTTCTGCCTCAAGTCCTTTTTGCCCTTTGTAAGCCCTTTTCTCTGCCGGACTCTTAATAAAATTTGAATTCTGGAACCCTGAAAGTGCACCCTAATCCAAGCTGGGATAACTTCCCCTTTCTCCTTTTTGTTTCCATTGTAGCCTGTGTAAAGCTATGTTGTTGCCTGTATCACATTATGTAGTGTTTACCTGTTTAAGTGTCTGTATCTGTCCCTTGGCAGCACATAATACTTTTTCATATTTGTATCTTAAATGACATAGTGTAGGCTCTCAGTTAAGTGTTTATTGCATGAATGGAGGCATGTGTATTTGCCATTTTGAGTAAATACTGGTACTTTCTTGATTTATAAAAATAAGTATATCTCAAAGAAATATGGAAAGGGAGGCAGTAAATATAGACTCATAATCTCAGTTGTCAATAAGACCCTTGATGAAGATGATAGCAACTACCATTTGTATCAAGCTTTATTATTTACAAATTAGCAACACATTGCATATGAACCTCATACTGTATGGCTTTATTTCCATTTTTCAGATAAGGAAGTATAGTCAGAGAGGGTACCTTTTTTCCCCCAGCACTTATAAAGGGGTGGGTAATATAAACTAGTAGAGCTTTTCTTGAAAGTTTTCAAAAGTTATTCCCTTAGCCCAGTAATTATACTTGTAGGAATTCATCCTTGGGAAACAAAAGTAAAAAAAAGAAAAATTGAGATTTAATGTTTGAACAATGTGATTCCAACTATGTGTAAGCAAAAATTTGAATGAAAAAAGACTGAAAGAAAATGCATCAAAATGTTAATAGTTGTTGTATCATTTAAAAACTCATCTATGTAGTCTAAAACTTTTTAAATGGGTATTTATTACTTTTGTGATCAGAAAACAAACATACAAACATTTGTTTGTATTTTGAAATGACTTCCTTAAGCTCTACCATTTCCTAGCAATATGAGCTTAACTTTGAAGCCTGGTCTTCTGTAAAGTCCAGGATCCTTTTGGCAAAAATATCAATTCTATTTTCCTGAACCCAGAATTTTACCAAAATTTTATAATTTTCATCTTCTTTCACTAAATAGTGAAATTGGAGGTTGAGGAAGGGCACTAAATTGAAAGGCTTAATAAATTATGTATTAGTTATTTAAATAATTAATAACTGGGGCTGGCCAGATAGCTTAGTTGGTTATAGCTTGGCCTTGTAATACAAAGGTCAAGGATTTTGAATCCTGTATTGACCAGCCACCCCTCACCCCAATTAAATTAATAATTGGTCATAGTATTTAAGACCTTATTACTGTCACTTGGAAAAATATAATGATTGAATATTGGTGAATTAAAAAATGTTTGAAATATACATTTGTGTATATTTATGTATTCCCATTCTAAAAAGATTTATTTTTAGTTTTAACTAATACACTAAAATTCTTTATAACATGTAGTAACACTTGTTGTTCTACCCATAATATATGATTATTAGAGTGTGGTATATATGACTAATAATCATGCAGTCTTCTTCTCCCTCCAGAGTTGTGGGAGGTTCACATTGACGGGTGTGCTTCTAAAAATGAAAGATATGTTTATTATGAATAGTCATCATCAGACACATTAGTATAAATTTATAGTAAACGTTCTGAAATTTTTCTCATTGAGATTAATTTTAAATAGAGCATAAACCATACCTTGTGGTAACATTTCAATTCAGGCAAACAATTTTAAAGAAATTTGCTTATTCCTTTTTTAATTTTTCTCATTGAGATTAATTTTAAATAGAGCATAAACCAGACCTTGTGGTAACATTTCAATTCAGGCAAACAATTTTAAAGAAATTTGCTTATTCCTTTTTTTCATTCACTTATTCATATTACGGAACCTGTCTTTAATACGCATACACATTTTATGTTCATCCTTATGTCTGCCCTTTCCTACAGCCCATACTAGGAGAATACTACAGCAGTCTAACAGAAATGCATGCAATGAAGTGCCAGGTAACAATCTGCTTAGTTTTGGTGTCCACTTTCTGTTAATATTTTTCCATTTGTCCTAAAATCCTTAGTTTTATTGTTCTGATTTTTTTATATTTAGCTTAGTATATATATAAGTTATGTAGCTGTTGTAAAAGTGAAAGATAATTCATTTTCATAAAATTCTGAAGCCTTTCATTTATAATTCTTGGTTGGTAAAATTGGCTGCTTTTCTTGTTTTCACTTTGTTTTAGTGTATGTAACCTAACCAACACATTTATAAGGGTAATATAAACCTTTTTTATGATTTAGTATTTGAAGTTGTTTATTATGTATTTCTTAAGTGGTAAAAACATTAATATTTTTTGGAAACAAATACAGGTTAAGTATCCCTAATCTGAAGATCTGAAATCTGAAATGATCCAAACTCTGACTTTGAGTACCAAAATGGTACTCAAAGGAAATACTCAATGCAGCATTTCAGATTTTGGATTTTCAGATTAGGGATGCTAAACTGGTAAATATAATGCAAATATTCCAAAAACTGAAAAAAGTCCAAAATCCTAAACACTTCTGGTCCCAAAACACATTCTGATCCCAAAATAAACCACCAAACAAGAACAACTAACTGTTGCATGCAAAGACTATGATCAAAATGCTATTTTTGATCTATTTTGTTTCTAAAGTGTGTATTTTCATTAAATATGGTTCTGTATTATTTAGGTTGCATGCAAAGACTATGATCAAAATGCTTTTTTGATCTATTTTGTTTCTAAAGTGTGTATTTTCATTAAATATGGTTCTGTATTATTTAGAATTGTAAATATTCCTTAACTCCTCCTTCAGCTATACACGAGTGAAAAATAAAAGACTCTTGGGGAATTTGAAGAAGTTAAACAAGGATGTAGAGCTGATAAAGCTGAATATATCAGTTGCACTTCCAAAAGAAAAGAACTCTGAAGATAGGATAAAAACAATATGGGATCAGAGAAAACTGACTAATACAAGGGATTTTTCTAGCCAAAGCTAATCAGTTTTAGTCCAGGAGGAGAAACTGGCATAAACGTTCTATCTCTCAACTCCAGTAGGGAGGGATGATGCTTGTATTTAGCATAATTCATTATTTTGGAATACTTTAATTTTTAATGTTATGTAATTTGGAGTGATAACTTTATCACAGAGATATTAAAGACATCACTAAATATACTTTGTTCTTAGAGCTTTGAAATAAATGTTTTCAAAATTGAACTGGCCAAACTTCAATATAGTATGTAAATTCAAAGTTTGCATATCAGGTCATATCTTCTTATCTAGATTTTTCCTATAAGCTGAGATATCTTAGAGACAGTTTTAGTTCCTGCTTACAATAAATGTCATTTTTGTAACAATATATCATATTTGAACATTTTAAAACTACTGAGAGAACTTTAGTATGTTAATTCATTTTATACTCATAACTGAGGCAAGATAGGGAAATTATTATTATTATTTTATGCTTGTGAAAATTGAGACCTCAAGATGTTAAATTATTTAGCTAATTAGGGGAAAGTTCTGCCATTAGAGCATATTCCTTTTGCATTTTCTTGTCCCTCTTTTGCAAAAATGAATTAAATCTTTATTATCTTAGTACATTTATTTGAAAGCACAATATATTAAAACTTTCAACATTTTTAGTTCTCTTTCTAAGAAACTTATCACTGATTTTTGCAGAATTTGAATATTTAGCTACTTGAGGTTCAACTATTGTTCTAGAAAGTTCACAGAATTTGATAGCTAGTAAAACCACCTGGAGATTTTTTTTCCATAGAGAAATCAAAATGGGAACAATTTCTAATCTGTACTCTTAAAATTAAGGGTATGACATATATCTCTAAGAGTGATAATTCTGTGTTATCAAAAAATATATGTAGCAAAATTGTAGCTGAAATATTGACGTCTAGATTCTGTGAAACTGAAAACTTTAGTTGGGTCACTGCATGTTCTACTTTATACCGAGTATATAAATAAGAGATTTACAGTGAAATCGACCTATTATGTTATAGTTACAAATTCAGTTATTCATTAGCATGATAGATGAGATTTGAGAATCAGTAGACCTAACTGGCTAGACCTTAATATAGTAACTTTCTTTTTCTTTTTTCTTTTTTCCTTTTCTTGTCTTTTTTCGTGACCGGTAACGGGATCACAACCCTTGGTGTCGTGCCCACACCGCGCTCAACCAGTGAGCGGACCGGTCTCTATATGGGATCCGAACCCTCGGCGGGAGCACCGCCGCACTCTACCGAGTGCACCACCGGGCCGGCCCCCAATATAGTAACTTTCATTGGCAGCATTCAGTTTGTTTTTATCAACATTAACAAAATTAATTTTTTTTTCTGTAATGATTTCATGTTAGCAAAGAAAAAAAATATTTGCACTTAGCTTATTCTGTTCAAGAGCTGAGTTTCACTGATTATTCCCATGAAGTGTATAAAATTGCCCAGATGTTTTATATGACCAGAAATAACTGCCGTTCTTAGTAATGTTAGATAATGTTATTCATTCATTTAAACATTTCTTTAATACATAGTATTTATTGTGATAATTTTATCTTGGTAATTTTTAGCTTCTTTTTCTACTTTAAAAGCCCTGAAAAGAATTGTGTTCTGATTTTTAAGTAATTTATAGGTGAGAGTAATGATGCAAGGTTGTAGAATTTGTCAAAACAGTATATTATCAGTATTAACTTCCTGAACTTTTATATCTTCCAGAAACTGGGAGTGATTTTTCCATGTTCGAAGCTTTGCGGGATACTATTTATTCTGAAGTAGCTACATTAATTTCTCAAAATGAATCTCGTCCACATTTTCTTATTGAACTTTTCCATGAGCTTCAGCTACTTAATACAGACTACTTGAGACAGAGGGCTTTATATGCATTGCAGGTATCTGTTACCTAATATTCTTTTTCCTATCTGGTTAACACTTTTCTTCATTATTATATCTGGTTCCCTCCTTAGACTAAAGCTTGTCCTGTTCCATGTGTATTTTGGTCTGTTTTCTATGTGCTTTATTGATATTTTATTTAAAACTTCTTTTATAGCTCAAGTAGCTTTTAAGATAAAGTCTCTTTTTGAGCAATTTTTTCAGTGTTTTATCTTTAATGTTATTTCTTCCTTACACTTAACCTGTGAGAAGTATTACATTTATTTTTGTATCTGCTTCTGCTTTTAAATTTGTAATGTAAATTTGTAATTAAGCATATATGTTTTATATAAATAATTGTCTTATTTCCTTATTCAGGACATAGTATCCAGACATATTTCCGAGAGCCATGAAAAAGATGGGGAAAATGTAAAGTCAGTGAACTCTGGTACTTGGATAGCATCAAACTCAGAACTTACTCCCAGTGAAAGCCTTGCTACTACTGATGATGTAAGCTGATAATGACTGGTGAAATGTAGATATAATTTCAGTGTGCAATAAACAAAAGTTAAATAGGTTGTTGTCAAATTGTGAGTATACTTAATATATTTGATTTTTAGCTTTTTTAAAAAAGCTGAGTATAATGTATTACTTTATTTTGAGGGTGAAGTATAAAACACAATCAAAATATGGCAGCAAACACCAAAAATGATGTATAAATGATAGATTATGAGGTCTAAAATAGCCATAAGTACATCTCCATTGTCCGACATAGGGGCTGACTCTTAACAGACATTTAGTAAATATATGTTATGTTCATTCAAGACAATCAGTAAACCAGACAGCAAGTAGACCACAGTAAGAACCCTCGAATAAATAAATAAATTCAAGATAAATTGGGTCTTTGGGTAAAAAAAAAAAATAAAAAAGCCTAGACAAAAGAAAGTCATATAGGAAAAAAAAAGGAGCTTATTTTATTCGAATTGATGGAGAAAATTTTGACCAAAGGGAGCTTAAAAAAAATAAAAAAGCCTAGACAAAAGAAAGTCATATAGGAAAAAAAAGGAGCTTATTTTATTCGAATTGATGGAGAAAATTTTGACCAAAGTAAAAAGGGCCTAGAAAAAGAGAAGAATGGTATAAATTCAGTAAACTATGTCTTCCAAATAGCACTTAGCACATAGTTGATTGAATGACTGAATGACAAAACTACTTTGATATGGAGGAGGCAATGTGCTAGGTATTTGGAAATCACCTGTTTAAAGGCTCAGACCTTGATTATATTGTAAAAGTTTATGTGACTCTAGGATAGCAAATACATATGTTTTTTACAGCAACTTTAGCACCTGGAGATCCATGGGTTAAAAGTGCAATAATTAATTAGCAAATATCTGCTATAGGTAGAGAGTTAGAAGCACTGCTCGTTGTTGAAATGTGGTAACACATTAAGTTTTTTTCTGAGAAATAGTATTTTTCTTGTCTGTTCTTCAGCTATAGTAAATTTCCTTACACCTATTGAGACTTTTTCTTAATTTTTGCTTTTTAACTTATATTCATGTTTCAAACAATATTTCCCCAACTCATCTTCTCTGCTTAAAATGTTTCTCTATGAAGTTCCAAGTCGTGTACTACTATGAACATAAACCTGTGTTTAAAAACTACATGATTTTGACTTTACAATGTCATATATAAATTAGTGTAAGTACTTGCTACTTTGGATTAATTGTTCTTACAACTAATGAAGATCGTGTACTCCTTTTTGTGGGAATGAAAAGTAGTCCAGCTGTATACATAAAAAGTAGGAGATGTTAGGTTATATTAATATTTATTGGGCATTGAAATAACTTGAGGGAGAGTGAAGAGTCTTTGTTCTTAGCTATATTTTTTCAGTAATTTTATATGCTTAATGCCAGTGCTTCCCTTTTTATCCAAGTTTCATACAGGCAGCATTACTTCCATTTAGTTTAAAGGATTTGAGCTCATTTGTCTTCACCATTGATAGTAAATTTTGAAAATTGACCAACAATTTAGGATAAAATTAACCTGACAAGGTTTTAAAGTTAAGTAAAATTTAAAGATACTGTACTCCTTGATAAATAGGGACTTGGCATAAATAACTGTAAGTAGCATTATTTTTCAGTAACTAAATCATTTCTTTCATTTTTCTTCCAAAATTTAAATTTAAGCATTAATGTCAATATCTCTTTTACTAAAGCCGTTTAATCAGCAACAGCAGCACAGCATCCAGTATTCATTCCCACAGATCTAGAGCAGCACTGTCCAGTAGAACTTTCTACAGTGATGGAAATGTTTTATATCTATATTGTCTATTACATTAGCCATTACCTGCATGTGGCTAGTGGGCACTTGAAATGTGGCAAATACCACTGGAGAACTAAATTTTAAATTTAATATAAATAACTACATGGTTAGTGGTTACCAAGACAGATCTAGAGTCTCATTCTCCATGCTCCTAGGCCAAGGTTCTTTGAACTCCATTTATAGAGCTTTTATACACATTTGAGGGTATGTCAGAGTCTTGCTCAGGGAAGAGAGAAATAAAAGTGAGAATAGGCATCAAGGAGGATGGAGTGGAGGAATTGAGGTTTAGGAAGAGAAAAAACACTTTGCATCTTCTACTTTGTGTGCTAATAAAATGGTAAAAGCACATCTATCTTCAGGTCTTACTCGGAGAAGCAACAAAATGGTTTCCCGATTTCTTAAAACATGTTCCCTACTGCCTGAGTTCCGTTTAATCAGACAAATCTTTTCATTTTATAATCGAAGATAGAAGACTTAAAAAAGATCAGTAGATAGGAGAAGGGACACAATTGTGAAATGTTTCAATCAAAATGTAAGTGGAAATCCCACCCCACCCCATCACACTCTACCCAAAATTAATTTGAAATGACTTATTAGCTAAAAATATGAAACTTCTGAAAGAAAACAGGACAAAATCATCATGACCTTGACATAGGCAAAAATTTCTTAGAACACAGAAAGCACTAACTATAAAAGAAAAAAATTGATGTTAGACTATAAAAATAAGAACTTCCTGCTTTTCAAAAGATCTTGTTAGGAGAAAATAGTCCCAGTACATATATCTGACAAATGACTTGTATCTGGACTATATAAAGAACTCTTATAACTCATTCCTAAAACAATTCAGTAAAAAATGGGTAAGAGATTTAAACAGGCACATCATAAAAGAAGATATAGGAATGGCTAGTATGCAAATTAAAACCACACAAGATACTCCCTCACACCCCCAGGATGGCTAAAATGAAAAAGATGGACAATAAGAAGTGTTGGTGAGAATGTAGAGCAGTTGGGATTCTCACACTGCTTATGGGAATTTAAAATTGCACAACCACTTTGGAAAGCAGTTTGGCAGTTTCTTATAAATGTAAACTTGGCATGTGACTCAACACTTTCTCTTTTAGTAATTCATCTAATGGAAATGAGAATATATGTCCACAAAAATACTTGTGCGGTAATGTCCATAGCATGTTTAGCCATGATCTCCTCAAACTGGAGCTGTAAAATATCCATACAATGGAAAACTATTCAGCCGTTAAGAAATACATGACATGGATAAATTTCAGAAACATATTAAGCAAAAGAAGCCAGACACTGAAGAGAATATGCCATATGGTTCCATTTATATGAAGTTCTAGAACCAGCAAAACTGATCTACACTGATAGAAATCATGAGTGGAATGTGGTGGAGATTGACTTTAGAAGGGTATGAAGAAACTTTCTGGGCTGATGGAAATGGTCTTTATCTTTAAGGGAGTTTATTACATGAGTGTATACATTTGTCATAACTCATCAAACTGCAGTTAAAATGGGTGCATGACTAATGTAATATTTCAATAAAGTTGATTTTTAAAAAGAATGGTGCTGTTATGGTTTTCTTCTGATATTGCAGTTAAAATGGGTGCATGACTAATGTAAGTAATATTTCAATAAAGTTGATTTTTAAAAAGAATGGTGCTGTTATGGTTTTCTTCTGATATGAGACAACCAGGTATAGTAAGGTACTAGACATTGTTAGAGTTTGGAGATAGGAGATGTCCCTAAAGATGTAAGAATAATTTAAAATGTCAACTTTGCCAATTTAGAATTTAATCAGTAGCTGGTTCTATGTATTTTCAGCTACATAATGTCAAATGTTCTCCACAGTTATTTAATATGTTAGTGTTCTCTGTGACTCTATTTGACCTTTCATAACTGGTTATATCTTGTTTGGATGGCATGCTCATGTAACTTATGAATATCTCTTACATGTATATAGTTTTATGCAAATATTTAGTTTCCCTTAGATCTTTAATATTTATCATAAAATTTTTAAAAGAAGTATTAGTGATTTTTGTTTGTTTTACTATAACTTAGGAAACTTTTGAGAAAAACTTTGAAAGAGAAACACATAAAATAAGTGAGCAAAATGATGCTGATAACACTAGTGTCATGTCCGTATCTTCAAATTTTGAGCCTTTTGCAACAGATGATCTAGGTAAGCAGAATTTTTTATGGTCTTAGAACATGACTTTAAGTTGATCTAATACAGTCTTTGAATTGCATTGATGAGAAAGCAAAAGTCTAGAAAGGGAAGATGTGGTTGAAAGAACATGGACTTAAGTATCCATCAGTCTAAATTTAAGAGTCTTCTGTTAATTATCTTTGACATTGGGTGAATCATCTGACTGCATATTCTAAGGAAATGGGTATCTTATCTACCTTGCTGTATTCTTGTAAAAAGGAGCATGAATAATACTTAAAGGAGTTCAGAAAATGTTAATTTCCTTTTCCTTAAGGGAAGGTCATTCTTTAAGGTCATGCAGTTACTTAATGGGAGAAATTTAGGACTCATTCAATCACATTTTCAGTAAAAAATTTAACTTCATAATTTCAGATAAGAACTCAAATTTCGTAGCATAAATAACCTGTATTGATAAACCCTAGGTAACCCAAAGTCATGACACTTTTTTAAAAAAAAAATCAGTAAAGCAAAAGAGGCTTAGAGGATTGCATAACTTGAAAGGGGAAAAAACTCGAGTCCTAGAGTTAGAAAGGAGATTAGGGAAAAGAAAACTGTATAGGTACCTGATACATTTTCTAGGCTGTGGCCTATTGAAAGATACCCGAGTATTCAGTCCTCTAGGGCACTTTGGTGAAATAATCTAATGTTTCATTATTCTACTGTTTGTTCATATGATGAGAAGGTTATTTAAATGATTTCAAAGGCATTTTTCACTACAAAGCAAAGGTTCAAGCCTTGACAAAATGTCTTTTGGTTTATCCTGATCATCAAGGACTCTTAAGCCCTAGCTGCCATCTGAGTGAATACTTATCAAGTCTGTACTGAGCTCATCCCATTATAGAGAAAAATTATTCTGTGGTCAACCCACTTCCCCTTAGGTTGTCCCTCTTTTTCTGAGTGACTTTGATGACTTTGAGTCGTACCAATATTATTTCATTTCTGATTTTTTTTCTCAAAACTCTTCATGACTAGCTTTGTTGAAGTGGAAATAGGTTGGAGGAAACTTATGTGGTTGGAGTAAATTTGTGTGAGAGTAAGTTAGGAAATCTCATTGATGGGCCTTTTCCTTACTTTATTTGCTCATGTTAGGTTGATTGTTTTCATAAGAATGTGCATGACATTTTAGAATTTGTTTTCTTTGTAATGTTTAAATGAAGCAACATGATGTAGTGAAATAAATATGGGCTTCAGAATCAAAGTTCAAATCCCTGTTTCTACATTTAACGGGCTGTGAAACCTTGGTCAAGTTAAGTTCTCTGAAAATGAGAGTGCTGTCTACTTTAGGGTTATTTTAAGATTTCAGTGAATAAATATGATGATGTATATGGAGTGCCCAGCTAGTATAGTATCTGGAACTTATTAAAGCTAATTTTTCATGCTTCAGATGGTATTTTTTTATTAATACATTTTGAGAAACACATGAAAAAGTTTGCTTTTATGTATTCTAGAAATATTTTTATTCCAAATGCAGGTAACACTGTGATTCACTTAGATCAAGCATTAGCCCGAATGAGGGAATATGAGCGTATGAAGACTGAGGCTGAAAGTAACTCAAATATGAGATGCACCTGCAGGATTATTGAGGATGAAGATGGTGCTCCTGCCACTACTACAGTTAATAATTTAGGTGTGTTTTTGGATTGATGAGAAGTAATAGTAGTAGTTTCATATAAAAAATTAAAAGCCATACCTGATATATAAGTGTGGTTTTATTATTGCTTTCTTTTAATTGTTAGGGGTGCTAAAACTACACAGATATTTCTTTGTATTATTTTAGCAGAAAATCATCAATTTAATAATGAATTTCTTTAAAATTTTGTATAAATGCACATCATAGGCTTTGTTTAGCTAAAATATTTTCTTTTTAAAAATAGAAACTCCCATTATTGAAAGTCATAGTTCACAACAACCTGTAAGTGGAGTTTCTACCATCCCATGTCCTAGAATTGATACTCAGCAGCTGGACCGGCAAATTAAAGCAATTATGAAAGAAGTCATTCCTTTTTTGAAGGTAAGCAGTACTTTTTTTAAAACAAGTAAACTTTATGTGTTTTTAATTCATACAAAAGTTCTGTTTATAATAAATTCTGAAAATATAGGTAAACAAAAGAAAAAAACTGAAAATCATCCATAATTTTATCACCCAGAGATCGCCCTACCAACGTTTTGTGAGCCTTTCTGTACAGTTTTGTACATGAATATGTGCATTCTGCTTTTTTTACTTATGAAACCGTAAACATCTTTCTAGATCATTTTTTGAGTGTGTATTTTTTAATGGTTACACAATATTCATTTATTCAAAAATATTTATAGAATGCCTACTTTATGCCAGGTTTTGTGGACACTGTGGTGAACAAGTCAAGGCCTTTGCTCTCATGGAGCTTATGTGCTAGGATGGGAAGACAGACTAAAATATCAGAAGAAAATAAAAAACATATAAGTAAATGTATATCAGGTATATGTGCCATGCAGAGAATTAGAATTTGGTGATATGATGGTGTCTATTTTACACTGGATGGAAGGGAAGCTTCTTAAGAGGGAACATTTAAGCAGAGGTGCAAATAAGGATCCAGCTTAAACCAAGATCATTCCAGACAGAGTAAAAAGGCCTTAAGGTAGGAATTAGCTTGACATGTTTGGAAGGCCTGTGTGGTTGGAGGAAATTTGCATGAGATTAAGTTGAGGGGGGCACAGGCTAGTTATATAGAACATTATAGGCCATAGTTAGAAGTTTGGACTTTTTCTGACATTTGAAGGCAAGTCCTAGAAGATTTTAAATGATAGAAATAAAACTGGTTTGTTTCTGGAGAATTGATATAGAGGGTTAGGAGTGCAGTGAGATCAGATGAGAAATGATAGTGACTTAGACAGAGGTGATGGTGATGGAGATGGGTAGGAATAGATGATTGGGATGTGTTTTGGGAATCAACAAGGTACTATTAATGGTTAGGGTGTTGGGAAATAAGAGAAAACTGGCCTGAAGGAAATAGGATTTACTGAGACAAGACTTGGGAGAAGAGGGAGGTCAAAGAGTTTTATTTTGGATTTTAAATTTGAACTGCTTGTTAGCCATATAGAGAGGTCAGGTTGTCATTTGGCTATTCAGCTAATGCCAGGCACAGTTGATAGGGTCGTTTATAGCATATAGATGATGTTACCTAAAGCCACGGTGCTATATATGAGAATAGAAAGGAGCCTAGAACTAGGGTGTGCAGGACCAGGAGATCCAACATTTAGAAGTTATGCAAAAAAGGAATAACCAGACAACTCTGGCAGACCAAGAAGGACTGCCAGTAGTTAGTTATGTTGATTGCTCCTGTGAGGGTTGAGTACTCATAGGATAGAATTTTTATTAATTATTTTACTAGTCCCTGTTGTTAAACATTTATGTTTATTGTAGTTTCTTTTTCACTATTATAAGCACTTCAGTGATTTAGCTAAATTTAAAAATGTATCCACTATTTCTTTAGAAATAATTCTCAGAATTTCTAGCTCAAAGGGCATGAATATTTTTAAAGCTTTTGAGACATTGGGCTAAATTGTCCTTCAGAAAAGTTAACCAATTTATATTCCTACGAACAGTGAGAATGTGAGACTGGTAAGCAGTACTTTAATTGTGTTTAAGAACATTGAATAGGGCAGAAAAAGAAGTACGTAAGAAATGAAATATGAAGACAGGACTTTTTTCTGAGATGGCACTCTTTACATTCTAATTTAAAATGGACATTTTATTTATTTATTTATTTATTTATTTTTTTAAAAAGATGACCAGTAAGGGGATCTTAACCTTTGACTTGGTGGTGTCAGCACCACACTCAGCCAGTGAGCGAACCAGCCATCCCTACATATGGGATCTGAACCCGGGGCCTTGGTGTTATCAGCACCGCACTCTCCCGAGTGAGCCACGGGCCAGCCCTAAAATGGACATTTTAAAAACTAAAAGTGTTTTCATTCAGATATGGGAAATTGCAAAATACGTTGTCATTGAGATCATTTCTTACAACTGACTTGCATTTTAATTTTTTTATAAGATGTTGAGAACAGGGAGTTGCTTCCATACGCTGATATTTCTTCCTTCAGTGAAAAGTAATTGCTCTCTTTGGAATATTTTAAGAGAAGAGAGATCTTCAAGAAAGTAATTGTAGAAACTGCTCTCTCTGAAGACAGCTGAGCTGAGTATCTGACTTTTTAGCCAAGAGGAAAGATAGGGTCATCTGACTGTGCCCAAAGTATTCCAAGTAAATACAGAGAAACAGCCTTTTCCTGGGCAATTGCAACAGCTCCTAAATGGTCTTACTGTCTCTGTTTGCTTCCTCTTCTAACTTTTCATTCCTACTGTCGGTGGCTCCTCCTGGGTCTTTGCTTCCCCTTGTTGGGGGATGGGTTGGTAGTGACTTGGAATTTTCTACTGAACTCTGTTTGGCTGTTTTGGGTTTCTGTACTCTATGAGGGCTCCAGGGCTCTGCATATATCTCTCTCCAGGTCATGGCAGTCACATGGGTTGCGCAAGTAGTTGTCTCTCCTGGGTTGGGCCATGGGGATGCAAATCTGTAGTCTCTCATCTCTTTCCTGTGGCTCTACTTGTGACCCTTCTTGGGTCCCACCAGTAATGTAGGAGTGTTCCCCTCTCTTTGCATCCTTGCCAGCATTTGTTATTCTCTATCTTTTCAATAATAGCTAGTCTAACTGGGGTGAGATGTCTGTCTCCCCCTACTAAAATGTAAGCTCCATAATGTCAGATTTGTTTGTCTGTTTTGGTCACTGTCAAAGAATGGTGCCTTAGTGTAGGCACTCATTCATTCATACGATAAGTGTTTACTGAGTAAGTGGACCCTCAAATCTCAACTGTGGTTTTCAAACTAATCAAGCTCTTTAGACTTTATAAAGTATAGTTTGGAAATAACTGGCCTGTAGGGTAAAGATCAGATTCATCATTATTCATAAAACATTTTGAAGGCTGGTCCTAACCTCTTAACTATTTCTTCCCCCATAACTTGTGTGTTGACATTTTGTAAAAAGGCACATTGCCCTCATTATATGCCCTTCACTCCTCTCTGTCAGTTAATCTTATTCTTCAGGAGCCAGCCCAAATGTTACTGCATGTCTTTACAGGCAGAATTTCTCCTTCTCTTCACTGTTTCTGGATACTTGGTTCATGCCTTCACTATAGGACTTATGACAAAGGATCATAATTTTTTGCATGTATCTTCCCAGAGACTGGGTAAAGGGAACGTGAAGAGATAAGACATAAATACATCAGTTTTACCAATTGTTCTGTGAATTTATCTCCTATTTGTAAATATATATATTCACTTCCCAAAAAGGAATATATGTGTTTATAGTCGTATAAATTATAAGAAAATATTCTTATAGATAGGTATTTATTTGAGAGTTTGAAACCATTACTTCAAGTGAATTGACTTTAATTATCTAAGTTATTGTTTGCTTTTATCTTAGGCATGAAGTGTTGCCTTTTTCTTCTATGTTTTTATTCTGTCATGAGTAATACAATAAATACTTGTAAACATATCTTTTAAAATTAAGTTAGGTATATTTTTAGTAACATTTATTTGATATATACAATTACTTTCTAAAGAACAAAAACTCTAAATGATTTAGCTTTATGCTTAGGGAATACAGTCTTCAGTTAGGAAATTTATTGCATTTACTTTTTTGTATCTGATTTGATGGCAGAGTTAAATGAATTGGTATATAGCCCTTTGTTCAGAATTTATTAGTTATAAAAACATTTAATTCTTGGGCAAAATATAAATCACTTTAAGAGTTTATAAAATTTTTAGAAAGTCATGAACTTAAAAGAATTGGAATAATTTTTTTGAAAGTAATAATCTAGGGCCGGCCCGGTGGCGCACTGCTACAGTTGCCGGACACGAAAAACGACAAAAAAAGGAAAAAAAAAAAAAAAAGAAAGTAATAATCTATCTTAAATATCTAATATATTAGGAAATATTAATGATATTTTAGCTGGCTAAAGTCTTCTGACACTTCATTTAACAGGTACTCACGTTAACCTGTTAAGAGCTACTAGAATTGCTAGAGTTACTTAAACTACAAAACTAATCTTGGTCACTTCCTTAAAACTAATCCCCTTTGTTTCAGCTGTTAGCCCTGATTTAAGTGATATCATTAAATAAGGATTTCCTTATTACATTTAGCATTTCAGAAAGCTTCTGAGACCAACAAAATGAGTATGATCTGATTTTATCTATATTTAGTTATTATGTCTCATTTTACTTCAGATCTTGACTCCTTTTTTTTTAGGATTATAGAACTCTTGTTAATCTCAGCATCATACCCAGTCAACTAAGCTAGACTTTTTGACTTTCTTATTCATCTGCTACCAGTGAGTCAAAAATCAATTCTTCCCCTAAAAGCAGTCAATTTTACTTTCTGCTCTCTGGTAGCATAACCTTAATTTATATTCTTATCTTTTACCTAGATTTTCTATCATAATAGGTATGAAGTGAATGTTTACTAAGCAGGATCATATGCAAACTTTAGCTTTCAAGAGGCTTCACTACTGGATCTGGTGTACTTTTCCTGTCCCTGCTGTTAACTTTTCCACATATCGGTCCTTTGTACAAGTTGTCCCCTCTATCCAAAATGTAAAACACCTTCACTTTTTTCTTCCTGGCTGAAATATTAACTTTTTTTTTTTTCCTTTTTGTCTTTTTTCGTGACCGGCAACGGATCGCAACCCTCAGTGTCACGCCCGTACCGGGCCGGGACCGGCCACGGGATCGCAACCCTCGGTGTTGCTCCCGCCCCTCGCTCAGCCAGTGAGCAGCTGGTCTGTATGTGGGATCCGAACCCTCGGCGGGAGCGCCACCGCGCTTCCCAAGCGGCGCACTACAGCAGTGCGCCACCGGGCCGGCCCTGAAATATTAACTTTTTTAGAGATATTTATTGTTGCCTCTAATATGCTAGCTATCACAGCTCCTTATAGCACTTAATTCAGGCAAGTGATATCACCTGTGAGCTAGCTCCTGTTATGTGATAAGAAAGTCTTTGCAATTAAAAAAGTATCAACTGCTAAACAGCACAGAGCTATTAGTGATTATTTTTGTTTCTGACTCCTCTACTAGTATTTGTCCCTTTGAAGACAGAGACTATTGTCTTTTTTATTGCTTGCCTTGACACATGAATTTTTCTTTAATGAACTTAATAAGAAGGGACCCTAGACATCATCTGGTTTGAACACCTCATTTAACAGATTTGTTTAGTCAGTGAAACAGAAAATTGACCTGAGAAAAGGTTATAGGATCTGCTTAAATGAATTTAGTAACAGAAACTGGATTAGAACCTTGAGATTACTTTGTATAGATAGGGACTCACCTCAGAAAGTTAACCATGATTTGGATTATTTTGTAGCTCACACATGCTTCTAAAGGAAGATTAGGAAAAGACTTTCTTGAAGTGGCTTGTTAAGAAAGTTAGGGGATGATGTTGACCCTCAAGACATCCTGTAATATCTAGAGACTATTTTAGTTGTCAGGACTGGGGGATGGAGGGGGTACTACTGGTATCTAGTGGTGTTAGACATTCTACAGTGCATAGTATGTCAGTAGTACTAAGGCTGAGAAACCCTGAGTTTAAAGATAATAGAGAGGAAATTGGGTAGAAGGTGAATATGGTTATAAGAGTATTGAAAAGTAACTCAACTGCAAACAGGAAGACAGGAAAAATGGAAACTATGGCATGGGTAATTTTTAAGGAACAGAAGGGAAGTAATGAAAAGCATTGGGTCAGCCATTTTTTTTTACTGGCCATTATTAGCTGTGGTGGGTCAAAATTGCCAAAACCTCAGTGTGAGTAGGATGAGAGTTTGGCTGTTCTTAGGAATAAATATTTCAATATATATGTATATCTGAAAATTGAGAATCATCTATTCAAGAAAATTAAAATTTCATATCATGTAGATAATATTTTTTAAACAATAGGTAAGTATCCTAACCAACTGGGATTTTTTCTCAGGAACACATGGATGAAGTATGCTCTTCTCAACTTCTAACTGCAGTAAGACGCATGGTTTTGACCCTTACCCAGCAAAATGATGAGAGCAAAGAGTTTGTAAAGTTTTTTCATAAACAACTTGGAAGTATATTACAGGTAACAGTTTATACTTATATGACTCACCAGTATGTACCATCTGGTTAGGATTTTTTTCCCCCTCCATTCTCTGGCATACACAATTTATTTAGGTGCCTTCTGTCCACCATTCTAGCATTCATTTGGGATGATGTTTTAGTACTTTTTAAGGCTACTCTTTTCCTTGGCTTTATTAAAAAAATTGTATTAGGACCTGTCTGTATCTTCATTTACACTGATTGTCTCTAAGGACTGTCCCAACTCTAATAAAATTTTATTGGTTTGATTTTTCTCCTACCCAGTATTGAATTGTTTAGAAGTATTCTGTGATTTTTTTCTAAAATAATTTTTGACTAATCTAGGAAATATTGGAAGCCAGAAACCAGATACCAATTGTAGAGATTTTTTAGGCTGTAACGGTAACCTTAAATTATGTTAAGGTGATGGTTCTCAACTAGGGGAGATTTTGCCTCCCAGGAGACATTTATTAGTCTCTACAGACATTTTGTTTGTTATAGCAGGTAGGGTAGAAGGAGGTAGGAAGGGAAGAGGGGAGGGCAGGTACTGGCATCTAGTGGGTAGAGGCCAGGCATGCTGCTTGAGCATCCTACAATGTGCAGGACAGTTTGCCACAACAAAGAATTATCCAGCCCCAAATGTCAGTTGTGTCAAGATTGACAAACCCTGTGTTAAGTAAGCATATCTTATTTGCTCCATATAATAAACATTTTTACCATTAAATTCACCTGAATATTTTTCTGTTGGGATAGTTCAGTGATAATGTATTATTACTCCAAATTAGAAATTACAATTTTCTTTTTATATTTATTAGAAAATTTACCTGTGAAACTTTTTCTTGCTTCCTACTCCTTTGTTTTAAACTGGTTTTAGATACAGTATTATCTAAATAAATACTTTGTCTATTAACTTTTTAAAAACCCTGGGCTTGATGCAAATTTGTTAACTGTAATTTTCCATTTTGTTAATATTAAGACTAACATAAATTCAGTAATATTTCTAAATTGTCCTGGCTCTATTTAATCTAATAGAACTAACACATAATTTATAAGGAATATATGACAGCTATGGTGTTGTAGATTGTAGGAATCCTTTAAATAGTATTCACTGGCAAAATTTGCTGGAGGAAAACTGAAAGACTGGAAAAGATCTTGTAGAAATATCTGAAGTATTAAAAATGTTTAGGATAACAGTTAGATAAATGAATTTTTATATATTTTGCTAGTTTATTCCTACAGAAAAAAATAACTCCGTGATAGAATCAACTTGAAAGAGAAATTATTTATACTTTAAACACTTCTTATCAAGATCATGCATCTCTTCCTCAGTTTTGCCTACTATTATAATTGTGGGGAGATTCCAAAGCATTAATTTGGAAATAAGATTTTTTTCTAAGTCTAAAAATTTGACTGCTTTTCTTTCACTTCATTCCTGATTTTTTTTCACAAGGGGGCATACATGAACAATTAAAGTTAATTTACATTAAATGTTGTCCAGAGTATTGAAAAGTTTTCATGAGCTAGATCTTAGATTACTCTCTTCTACTTTTTTCCTTCTGAATCCTGTTTGAGAATTTTTTTCAAAATGCATTCAGCATATATACTTCTTTTCAAGACTGTATTAAATAAGGTAGTCTTTTGGGGGTAGTAGGGGCATTGAACATAGTTTTTAAAATAGCATAGTCGGGGGGGAGGGGGTGGAGAGGAATGGGAAACGGGGCATGAAAATCGAGTACAATGTATTTTGAGAAGTAAAATAGAAAAAAATAAAATAAAATAGCATAGTCCATATTTTTTAGGAAGAAAGAAAAAAAGTGGTTTTATAAAGAGTGTGTAGAACATAGCAGACTTGTTCATTTGATGATGTTGCGTTTCAGTTTGAATAGAACTAAAGTTTAATTTTAAACTGATTCTGAAGAAAAATTTAAATTAGAATGACTGGTTGGCTTTAAGGGGGAAACTTTAAAAGTACTGTAATGGTACTGTTTAAAAGACTTTGTATTTTCCTCTTATAGCACTTAGGCTTTATTACAGTAGTATATATGTATTCCCTGTGCTGTCTGGAAACTTTTTTGGGATTAGGAATCCCCTATCTTATTTATTTGGGCCTAGCAATTATATAAAGTAGGGACTAATGGATGACTATATGCTATTTTCCTCCCCTTGTGTATACTGTTTAAACAGGACTAGGAAGATTCCTTAGTAATAATAGTAATATTCTTTAGTAATATTAACCTGTTTTTCCTCAGTAGTCTTCATTATTAGTTTTAAGTTTTTAGTACTTGAAAGTAATAAATTTGTTTTTCTCTAGGTAAGTATTTAATTTAAACTTTTTAATAATTTGTATCCCTCTATCCACAATTGAAGTATACTGTCATCTTAAAATTATTTGGTTTATATTTGAACAGGATTCATTGGCAAAATTTGCTGGCAGAAAACTGAAAGACTGTGGAGAAGATCTTCTTGTAGAGATATCTGAAGTGTTGTTTAATGAATTGGCTTTCTTTAAGCTCATGCAAGATTTGGATAATAATAGTATAACTGTTAAACAGAGATGCAAAAGGAAAATAGAAGCAGCGGGGGTGATACAGTCTTATACCAAAGAGGTAAATAACATTCATTTTGATTTTAGGGGCATTTATAATTAGCACGTAAATACAGTTTTTGATCATTATTAATAAATCATATTTGACCTCAGCAAAAAGTTAAGTGATATTAGTTAATCAGATTATAAATCAGTATATATGCTAGCCACATACTGAATCTCAGGCACAACAGCAGTGCTAAAGATCAGGAATGAAGACAGGAATTGATGCTAAATGTATATTGTTAGATATCCAGTTCACAGTATTTTCATTTATTTAGGTCTCCAAAAAGGAGACTGACTGGAAACCGGTCCTTGGCCAGTGTCCTGTCGTGGCTGTTGCCAATCCCCATAGATTCTCCAAGAATATAATCACCCAGAGGTCACTCCCAGCCAGCACACATGTTTGTTAATTAGTTGAGGCTTTGATTTCACATCCCTGTAATTTCTTCTACCCTGTCAAATTAGTCTTGGTCACATGTGAAATTGGATGAGTTTGTTTCCCCTCTACTTGAGGCATACCAGGAGGCTGCACCCTTTTCTTTACCTTCTGATCGTGAGTGGAATACCAAATCAAGTCCCAAATAGAAAGAGAGAGCCATTCTTCTTTAGAATCTAAAGTAGACAGAGTCAGGTATTTCACACTTTTCATGATATTTATACTCTAGATATAAATAATTTCAGATAATTTTATTTTTATTTTTATTTTTTTTTGTCTTTTGTCTTTTTTCCGTGTCCGGCAACGGATCGCAACCCTCAGTGTTGCCCCCGTACCGGACCGGGGACCGGCAACGGGATTGCAACCCTCGGTGTTGCTCCC